CCTGTCCTAGAGGATGTACACATCCAGGCTTTGAGACCATGAATATTTATGCTAATTTAGGGCATATTTTCCCAGTCACTTCACCCTCTGAGAGCAGAGGCATAGCTGTTGGATTGTATCACAGCCAAGCACCACATTTGGAGCAGGTTTACACCAGCCTGACCCAGGGAGATGAGCAGGGGCTGCTGTTCCCTTACAGCCCTTTCCATGCTCCTGGACTGGTGCAACAGAAGCAGCTCAGGCTCAAGACACAACACAGCCCCACACATGGGCAGACCTGACCCAAAACTACAGGACCAGTGGCTCTCTGCTCTGACACTGAGCTACCCAAAAGGGTTGTGTAATTTGTGGGGCCCAGAGGTTTCACCTGTACCCCAAGGATCAGAGCCCCTCTTAGCTGAACTGTACATAGATTATCTTTATTACAGGACTGTTATGTTTGCACAGTTTAGTGATTTAATATCAGTTTAAAGCCTTCACTGTGAGAAACACTGTTTGAAGTCATGCTCACTTTTCTGCCTCAGCTTGCCAAGACTGTAAAATGTTTATTGCTAATGGTGGAAAAGCTTAAAGAAGCCAAGATAACTTTCCCAGGCTGGGTATTAAGACTGTTTGGATAAGTAAATGAGTGAAAACTATTACATAGGCTTCATTAAATATCAACCAACACCAACAGCCATTCATTTATAACACAACGGCAGGAGTAGAGCTGAGAAAGGTACGTATCACGTGTGATAGGAGAGATGGACATGAGAAGGGCTGGATTCCCCACAGGGCTCCAGGTGTGACTCTCAAGGTCAGGCAGCACAAGCCCTGATTGAAGCTCCTTCAAAACACTGTAGATTTGGAGCTGATGAAGTGGCAGAGCTGGTGCAGTTCATCTCCTCCTGGCTGGAGAGGGTTGCATGCATGTGGTGTAGTATGTCCTCCCTCCTGCAGCTGTGGGTGAGGACAAAACTCTCCAGCTAGGGGAGGACTGTCACTGCCTGGATGTTTGTTTTCAGTTTTTAGCTTTTACTTCCTTATAGCCACATTCTGCCTTTCCTGGTTTCTAGTCACAGGATGCCAACACCAGTTAGAGTCAATTACATAAACTCTTGCTACCATTCATGTGATTTTATGTGCCAGTACTTTACAACTCCCCCACAACTTGGCTTGGTGCTTGGACCTCTCATTTTCATTCACCACCTACCACTCCCCTCGAGTTCAACATTCCCCACATAAGGAAAACTGAGGTAAGGTAGTCACTTCATTGGTGGTCCACCCCAAAATCACATTTCACCACCAGCACTTCTTCACTTTGCAGTATTCTCACTTCTACATTCCCTCCTTGCTCCCTCTTACCTGCTTGAAACTCTTGCTCTTATCTTCACATCTTTTTTCACACCTCTCAGTGCAGTTGCTGGGGATTCTCACATGTTTCCTTGCCCTTCTTTTTTCCCAAAACAGAGCTTCCTTCACACATCACTCCTTTCAAACATCCCTGCTTACTCCTGACACCCTGTTCCAGCAACTATTAACCAGTCAGCTCTGGAATCATCACATCCCTGATGTATTTTCCTCCCTTGTTTGAGAGGTGCAAATTCCAACCAGGTTTTGCAACCCACAGCATAAATTCCTCTTTGCAGCTCCAGTATTTCCTAGCTCTTTGGTGTTTTTAAGCCTTTTCTCCCATCAGCCCTGCCTCCCTGCTCATTTCAGCAATTAGCTGGATCAGGTGCACCTGGGAATCTCCCACATCCCTTCAGCTGTGAGGCCACAGACCTGCCTTCCCAATACATGGCTCCTGCCCAGACACAGCTGCCTCCAAACTATGTTTGCAGTTGCCATTTTGAGGCCTTACCTCTGTCCTGGGACTCCTGAATGCTTTTCCCATGCTTGTGCTGCAGGTCTCTGTGCCCAGGAACTGCACAAATGAAAAAAGGACCAAAGTAAAGTCTCTTGTCCTCCTGAGGTCCCTTCCAACCTCATCTGTCCCATAATCTACTGGAAAGGGCATGGAGCAACTTCATGAACAGTTCTAATTAACACAGATCCAAACGGATCTCAGTTTAGGCACCAGTTTGCCCGGTTGCACCCAGCTCTGAGCTAGCTTGACCCAAAAAAGGGGTGGACTGCAACATCAGCATGGAGTTGAACCAATGTACTCCCCTTCTCTGCAATGTCTGTGCAGATAAACACCTGTGGCACACTCAGCTTGCTGCCATGCTGGCATATCTCTTGCCAGGCACACTGTCACCGAAATGTTTTCCACTTTGGAAGGATGAAGCCTTGGAAGAGAAATAAATCAGAGCTGAATCTCAGATGCTCCAGAAAGGCCTTGTTTACCACTGCAGGCTCCTGGGGTTCCCACTCCTTGAACGACTGTCTTTGACTCCCTCTCCTGGCTGAAAACACGGGTTACAGCCATAAGGATGGAGGAGAACCCAACCTGCCCACAGCGACCCTCAGCCGGGGACAGTCCCCAAGAAGACACTGAGCCCGTTTTGCAGTCTCATTCTGTGTCCATGAGTTAAACGAGTCATTTCTCATAGAATCACAGAATGTCTTGGGTTGGAAGGGACCTCTAAAGGCCATCTAGTCCAACCCCCCTACAATAAGCAGGGACATCTCACACTAGAACAGATTGCTCAGAGCCCCATCAAGCCTGACCTTGAATGTCTCCAGGGATGGGACCTCCATCACCTCTCTAGGGAATGTGTTCCAGTGATCCACAACCTTCATAGTAAAGAACTTTTTCCTCACATCCAGCTCTTCCTCAGCCTTCCTACAGGGACCTCTAAAGGCCATCTAGTCCAACCCCCCTACAATAAGCAGGGACATCTCACACTAGAACAGATTGCTCAGAGCCCCATCAAGCCTGACCTTGAATGTCTCCAGGGATGGGACCTCCATCACCTCTCTAGGGAATGTGTTCCAGTGATCCACAACCTTCATAGTAAAGAACTTTTTCCTCACGTCCAGCTCTTCCTCAGCCTTCCTACAGGCCCCTTTCAGGTATTGGAATGTTACTACACAGTCCCCCCGGAGCCTTTTCTTCTGCAGGCTGAACAACCCCAACTCAGCCTGTCCTCATCAGAGAGCTGCTCTAGTCCTCTCTGATCATTTTTGTTGCTCTACTCCGGACACGCTCAAACAGGTCTAGATCCTTCTTGTGTTGGGGACTCCAGAGCTGGACACAGCACTCCAGGTGGTCTCAGCAGAGACCACCTCTCTCAATCTGCTGGGCACTCTTCTTTTGATGCAGCCCAGGATGAGGTTAGCCCTCTGGGCTGCAAGTGTACATTGGTGGCTCTTGCCATCTCTTGCACTCTATGGAAAGCATCCTTAGAGATCTGCCAGCTCTGTTCTGCTCCCTTGTCCCTGAGGGCCATTTCCCATGGGATTCTACTTACCAACTCCTTGAAGAGCTGGAAGTTTGTTTTACTAAAATTTAGAGTCCTGACTATGGTTCTCATCTGCCTCTTACCCCTTAGGACAGTGAAATGCACTAGTACACAATGACTGCAGCCCAGGCTGCCTTCAGCTTCAACATCTGCCTTCAACATCTCTGAGGAGTTCGCTTGCGTTTGCGTCCGTCGGGTCCAGTAACAATCCCCTCCAGCAGGGCTGTCAGTTTCTTGTCTTAAGAAGTTGTCATTATTCCCCCGAGGCATCTCATGGCTGCTCCCCTGCTGCCTCCTGCTCGCTCAGGCTGCCCTGGCTCATCTCTGCAAGACCCTGCCTGTGCTGCAGCACACAGCACGCTTGTTTCATGCAGAGCTCAGGCACCACCGGCTGAACTCCTGCGGGATGTGACTTTCTGTCCTCTCAAAAACCCAACCAAACCAAATCAGGGAAAAAATCCTCCCTGCAGCAGCACTGAGCCCCTCGGTCAGCACCCAAGCCCTGCCTACAGCCGGCACATCTCTTGGGCCCTGCTCGCATGCCACGTTTGCCTGACCCCGCTCTGAGGCTCCTGGAGCTCTGACCAGGTCCTTACGGAGCTTCTGTGCCTTTTGGCTGCCCGGGATGGGGGTGCTGGGGCCCCTTTCCCAGCTTCCTCTTCTCTTCCCCACCTGGCCGGGCCGCAGGCGGGGAGCAAGGCCTGGCCCTGAGGATACACTGGGGCCACCCCAGGAAAAACTTCATATATATCTAATATATATATACTTGTACCTTTGCGGCTCACGGCTGCAGGCACCGCGGCACTGAAGGGTGGCCCTTCAGCAGGCCCTTCCCTCATACAGAGAAAACCAGGGACACCCGCAACTTTGGGCCCCGGGCCGAGCCCTGCCCGTGCTGCGCGGGCCTCGGGGCTGCGGGGAGAGCCCGGGGCCCTTCCTTCCCTCCAGCCCAGGGCCCTTCCCT